AGTGCCGCTTGTTGCATTAATTCGAAAAAATCATATATTAATTTTTGAATGCAAAACATAAATAAAAATGTAAATTTTTGACCCATCCCGTCCCCAGGGTGCCCTATTACGCGGGGCGGGGGCTTTTTGACAGCGTTTTACATTTTTTGTGATTTTTTGAGGCCATTTTTTTACGGCATGCCCAGAGAAATGTAAGGATTGTATATGTAAAATTTCCTAATTTTTTGATCTCGTTTTTATTTTATTTTATTTTTCAAAGACAAAAAATAAAGAAAATCATAAAAAATAGAATATTCATCAAACAATGGTGCCGCTTGTTGCATTAATTCTTAAAAATCGTATATTAATTTTAGAATGTAAAACGTAAATAAAAATGTAAAATTTTGACCCATCCCATCCCCTTGGCTCCCCACCACGCGAGGCGGAGGCCTTTTGATAGCGCTTTACTTGTTTTTGTCATTTTTATGTCATTTTTTGCAGGCATGCCCAAAAAAAAAGTAGGGACCATGTCCGCAACATTTCAAAATTTTTTGAAGTTGTTTTTATTTTATTTTTATTTTTCAAAGACAAAAAATAAACAAAATTATAAAAATAGAATATTCACCAAAAAATAGTGCTGCTTGTTGCATTAATTCCTAAAAATCGTATATTAATTTTAGAATACAAAACATAAATAAAAATATAAAGTTTGGACGCTTCCCGGTCCTTGGGCGCCCCACTACGCGGGGCGGGGGCTTTTTGATAGCATTTTTCTTTTTTTTTTTTGGGATTTTTTGAGGGCATTTTAGTGAGGCATGCCCAGGGAAATCTAAGGATCATGTCTCCAAAAGTTCATAATTTTTTGACCTTGTTTCTATTTTATTTTATTTTTTCAAGACAAAAAATAAAGAAAATCATAAAAAGTAGAATATTCATTAAACAATAGTGCCGCTTGTTGCATTATTTCCTAAAAATCGTATATTCATTTTAGAATATAAAACATAAATGAAAATGTAAAATTTTCATCCATCCCAGTCCTTGGGCTTCCCACCACGTGGGGTAGGGCTTTCTGATAGAGTTTTACTTTTGTTTTTTATTTTTTGAGGGCATTTTTTGCAGGCATGCCCAAAAAAATGTAAGGATCATGTCTGCAAAATTTCATAATTTTTTGCTGTCGTTTTTATGTTATTTTATTTTTCAAAGTCCAAAAATAAAGAAAATAATAAAAAATAGAATATTCATCAAACAATGGTGCCGCTTGTTGCGTTAATTCCTAAAAACCATGTATTAATTTTAGAACAAAAAACATAAATAAAAACGTAAATTTTTGACCCATCCTGACCCGTGGGCCCCTCGTCACGCGGGCCGGGGGCTTTGTAACTGCGTTGTTCTTTTTTTTTTGTCATTTTTTGAGACCATTTTTATTTTCTTTTATTTTTCAAAAACCAAAAATAAAGAAAATCATAAAAAATAGAATATTCATCAAACAATGATGTCGCTTGTTGCATTAATTCCTAAAAATCATATATTAATTTTAGAATGCAAAACATAAATAAAAATATAAATTTTTGACCCATCCCGACCCCTGAGCTCCCTGTCACGCGGGCCGGGGGCTTTCTAACAGCGTTTTTCTTTTTTTTTTTGTCATCTTTTGATGCCATTTTTTACAGGCATGCCTAGAAAATGTAATGATCATGTCTACAAAACTTTTCATAATTTTTTGACGTCGTTTTTATTTTATTTTATTTTTCAAAAACCAAAAATAAAGAATATCATAAAAAAAATATAATATTCATCAAACAATGGTGCTGCTTGTTGCCATAATTCCTAATAATCGTATACTAATTTTACAATGAAAAACATAAATTAAAATGTAAATTTTTGACCCATCGCAGCCCCGGGGCTCCCCACCACGCGGCGCGTGGGCTTTTTGACAGCATTTAACTTTTCTTTCATTTTTTAAGGTGATTTTTTGTTGGCAAGCCCAAAAAAGTGTAACGATCATGTATGCAAAATTTTATAATTTTTTGCCGTCATTTTTATTTTCTTTTATTTTTCAAGGACCAAAAATAAAGAAAATCATAAAAAATAGAATATTCATAAAGCAATAGTGCCACTTGTTGCATTAATACTAAAAAATCGTATATTAATTTTAGAATGCAAAACATAAATAAAAATGTAAATTTTTTACCCATCCCGGCCTTGGGCACCCTACTACGCGAGCCGGGGGCTTTTTATGAGCGTTGTTCTTTTTTTGTCATTTTGAGGCCATATTATCCAGGCATGCCTAGAAAAATATGCGAATTGTGTCTGCAAAATTTAATAATTTGTTGACGTCGTTTTTATTTTATTTTATTTTTTAAAGATGAAAAATAAAGAAAATCATAAAATATAGAATGTTCATAAAAAAAAGGTGCCGCTTGTTGTACTAATTCGTAAAAATTGTATATTAATTTTAGAATGCAAAACATAAATATAAATATAAATTTGCGACCCATCCCGGCCCCTGGGCGCCCCACTACGCGGGGTGGGGGCTTTTAGACAACATTATTCTTTTTTTTTGTGATTTTTTTAGGGCATTTTAGTCAAGCAAGCGCAGAGAAATCTAAGGTTCATGTCTCCAAAATTTCATAATTTCTTGACCTAGTTTTTATTTTATTTTATTTTCTTAAGACAAAAAATAAAGAAAATCATAAAAACTAGAATATTCATTAAATAATGGTGCCGCTTGTTGCATTAATTCCTAAAAATTATATATTAATTTTAGAATGTAAAACATAAATGAAAATGTAAATTTTTCACCCATCCCAATCCCTGGGCTCCCCACCACGTGGGGCAGGGGCTTTTTGACAGCGTTTTACTTTTGTTTTTCATTTTTTGAGGCTATTTTTTTTTTTTGCAAGCATGCCTAAAAAAATGTAAGGATCATGTCTGCAAAATTTCATAATTTTTTATTGTCGTATTTATTTTATTTTATTTTTTAAAGACTAAAAATAAGGAAAATCATAAAAAATAGAATATTCATCAAACAATGGTGCCGCTTGTTGCATTAATTCCTAAAAATCATATATTAATTTTAGAACATAAAACATAAATAAAAATGTAAATTTTTTACCCATCCCGACCCCTGTGCTCCCCATCACGCAGGCCGGGGGCTTTTTGACAGCGTTTTTCTTTTTTTTTGGGGTCATTTTTTACAGGCATGCCTAAAAAAATGTAAGGATCATGTCTACAAAAGTTTTCTTAATATTTGGAAGTCGTTTTTATTTTATTTTATTTTTCAAAAACCAAAAATAAAGAAAATCATAAAAAATAGAATATTCATCAAACAATTGTGCTACTTGTTGCATTAATTTCTAAAAATCGTATATTAACTTTAGAATATAAAACATAAATGAAAATGTAAATTTTTCGCCCATCACAGTCCCTCGGCACCCCACCACGTGGGGCAGGGGCTTTCTGACAGCGTTCTACTTTTGTTTTTCATTTTGTAAGGCCATTTTTTGCAAGCATGTCCAAAAAAATGTAAGGATTATGTCTGTAAAATTTCATAATTTTTTACTGTCGTTTTTATTTTATTTTATTTTTCAAAGACCAAAAATAAAGAAAATCATAAAAAATAGAATATTCATCAAACAATGGTACCGCTTGTTGCATTAATTCCTAAAAATCATGTATTAATTTTAGAACGCAAAACATAAATAAAAATGTAAATTTTTGACCCATCCCGACCCCTAGGCTCCCCGTCACGCTGGCCGGGGGCTTTCTGACAGCGTTTTTTTTTTTTGTCACTTTTTGATGCCATTTTTTACAGGCATGCCCCGAAAAATGTAAAGATCATGTCTACAAAATTTTTCATAATTTTTGGACGTCGTTTTTATTTTATTTTATTTTTCAAAAACTAAAAATAAAGAAAATCATAAAAAATAGAATATTCATCAAACAATGGTGTTGCTTGTTGCAATAATTCTTAAAAATCGCATATTAATTTTAGAATGAAAAACATAAATGAAATTTTTGACCCATCCCAGCCCCTGGGCTCCCCACCACGCGGGGCGTGAGCTTTTTGACAACGTTTAACTTTTTTTTTCATTTTTTGAGGTCATTTTTTGTAGGCATGCCCAAAAAAATGTAACAATCATGTCTGCAAAATTTCATAATTGTTTGCTGTCATTTTTATTTTCTTTTATTTTTGAAGGACAAAAAATAAAAAAAATCATAAAAAAATAGAATATTCATCAAGCAATAGTGCCGCTTGTTGTACTAATTCCTAAAAATCATATATTAATTTGAGAATGTAAAACATAAATGAAAATGTACATTTTTAACCCATCCCAGCCCCTGGGCTCCCCACCACGCGAGGAGTGGGCTTTTTGACAGCGTTTTACTTTTATTTTTCATTTTTTGAGGCCATTTTTTGCAGGCATGCCCAAAAAAATGTAAGAATCATATCTGCATAATTTCATAATTTTTTGCCGTCGTTTTTATTTTATTTTATTTTTTAAAGACAAAAAATAAAGAAAATCATAAAAAAATAGAATATTCGTCAAACAATGGTGCCGCTTGTTGCATTAATTCCTAAAAATCGTATATTAATTTTGGAATACAAAACATAAATAAAAATGTAAATTTTTAACCCATCCCGGCCCCTGGGCGCCCCACGTGGGCTTTTTGACAGCGTTTTATTGTTTTTTTGTCATTTGTTGAGGCCATTTTTTGCAGATACCAAAAAAAATGTAAAGATTGTGTCCGCTAAATTTCATAATTTTTTAATATCATTTTTATTTTATTTTATTTTTCAAAGACAAAAAATAAACATAATAATAACAAATAGAATATTCATAAAAAAATGATGCCGCTTATTGTATTGATTCTTAAAAATCGTATACTAATTTTAGTATGCAAAACATAAATAGAAATGTAAATTTTTAACCCATCCCAACCTTTGGACGCCCCACTACGAGGGCCGGGGAGGGCCGGGTAGCTCTTTTAAGTAACAGCCTGAAGTGTAAAAAAGAAAAGGAGAGATAAACACTAGGCAAGATTTCTCATTCATCTGGAATGTTTTTAGTTAATACATAATTGCTCGTCATAATCCACACACATAATATCATATTCTCGCTACCATCAGAAGTCAAATCATCAAAATTTCCCCTTAAAATTTATAGTCTGTATATTACTCGCTCATGTCGTTGTCTCCTTCGAGATCGCCAAGACCACCAAAAGCTTCATCAGAAGCCTCGTCGTCTTCGCTGCTTTCGTCAGTTTCCATGGCGTCTTCAGATTCCTCTTCATCACTTTCATCTTTGTCCTCAATAATAACTGGCACGATTGCGTCGCTTTCATCCACTTCATCGTCAACAATCTGTTGAGGAAAAAGCTCCCGTAAGTAGAGAGCTACAAAAGCTTTCAGGCATAATATTAGTGTACGAACACAGAACTTACCCCTGCATAAAGCACGTCCAACACACTTGAGAGTTGAAGAGCCGATCGGAAAGTGGACACTCTGGATTCTATGAGCTGCATATGAACCAAAATTTCCATTTTTAACCGGGAGAAAGCAAAAAGTAGAAAATAAAAAAATTCTTGCAATTTAATGAAAAATATAAGATGGGACAGCGTCACTCCCATAGAAGTGCACATGGTCCCTTCTTAAACAAACAGTTCTTTTGTTTTTTGGATAATCTTTAGATAGTACCTGATACAAAGAGTTCAAAGCAACTAAAGAAGATTCCTGGGACATTATTCCACTTGAATGCTGAAGAAGTAGGCATCTCAGCCATGGAAGGGCACAGGCCAGGATTGCACCCCTGGAAAAAATATAGGAATTCATTAGGCTGGATAAAAGTAGCAGTCAGGACACAGAAACACAGACTTAACTTTTCCAGAACAAGAACAAGAAAGGGACAAAGAATATTGGATAAATCAAGCCCCGTAAGCCACTTCCAAATTATCCAGCTAGAATGTCTACACTTGCGAATCATATGAGATTTGAAAGTGAACCCCAAACAAAATGAGCAACTGGGATGTTATAGTATAAGCCATAACCTAAAAAATGATTATTTGAAACCATCGAAGGGTACAGCCTACTGCATAATCTTTACCTTGACTGAATAATAGATATGAGGGACTGTAAAAGCTTTAAAACATCTGATGGATTCAAGAGTGAGATTGATTTTGCAATAACCTGCAACCAGAAATTGAATTGTTTATATTAACTTTGACGTCCATCCGTGTGTTCTGAAACAGCTAATAATATGGCCCAAGGGGGAGAGTCAGGGGATACCTTTTCATCTTGGGTGTACAAGCAATCTAACAGAAGCGCTCGGTCATCAGCATGCATTGCTTGCTTAAGCAAAACATGAACAGAGTCTGCACTAGGAGGCTTTGCAGCGAGAGAAGACTCATCATTTTCGTTTCTCTTTGCTATATCTAAATTTAAAGTTGCGAGTTTTTCCCCCATGGTTGGTTCATTTAAATCATCGTCATCAAGAAGAACTCCGACGGCAGCCTCTCCGTTACCTATTAATCAGGGTACAATTATCATGCAAGATAAAAACTTGATCAATTATTGGACTCCATGAAATACATACTGTTCCAGATCTATCATACAAGTTTGAGGCAAATGTGAAGGAGCAACGTAAGCATGTGATAAGAAAGCAAATTTGTAAAACTAGGAAGATTTAGCTTTCAAAAATTGCTTTTTCCAGGGACCGGGATAGGGGGAAGGGGTTATGTACTTTCTCCAACCAAGAAAACCCTTACCAATGTCAATCATGTCTCCCAGAGTTGAATGTTCTAGCTCAGACACAGTGTGCTTCTTACGTTTTTCACTTTTCTTTGGTAAAACTGTTGCTTCTAAATCCATATCATGGAGATCTGTGATAAAATATTCAGTAATGGCTTCAGAAAAGGTGTCACAACTAAAAAAAATTCCTAGAAGCAGGAATTCCCAGAAAGATAACTGTCACATATATACAGAGTGTTGGAATTGCAGCATATATGGATGATGGCAGTCAGAAAATAAGGAAGCACCATGGAGATCCACAGGCAGTCTGCAGAGCAAGACTCAACTACGGGCAGATATTTAAGGTGGGTGGCAGCTAGGTATAAAGAGAGGGAGGGAGATGTTCTCAGAAAATTAAGAAGCGTTGGGGCTTTATCTCTGAGCTAAAACATCTAATAAGCTATTAGAACTTACTCCACAAATTGGATAAAGAATAAAGATACGATGAGCCATTAGCAAACTTCATGTAGATATAGACCATATACTAAAACCTTCTCAACAGTCAGCAAATGTCAACGCAAAACAGACAAAAGTAGGTTAAGGGGCGAGGAACAGAAACAAAAGAAAACTTAATTACACCTTCTCTTGCAACCCCATTTTCCGAAATGCTTTTAGTCTCCTCTAAAGCATCTATGATAGCATCCTCCCCTGGCTTAATAACATCAAACAGACTAAACCGAGGATGATCAATTGAGCCATAACTTACAAGGGCTCTCATATGTTTAGAAGCATCAAAATCTTGTAATCTTGCAGCAATAATAGAGGCACGGTGTTTCTTTACACTTCCACTATTTTGCAGCGCTGTTTCATCTTCATTTACTTTGCATGTGATCTCAGTTGGATTAGCCTCCTCTTCTTCTAATTGGGTACTTTTCAGATGCCATACATAAGTTATACCTGACTTTGAGACTGCCAAGACAACCGCACCAGGTTCTCCATTGCACCCATCCTTACATTGAAAACTTAATGGGGCATGTTTCATTGAAAGAATCGGACCACAACTCACGGTGCCCGCATTCTTATCCAACCACCACACTTGTAGATGTTTATCCCCAGGACATGACGTAACCAGGGTATTGGCATCATCAGAGATCGAAGCATACTGAACATGACCCTGTTAAAATAAATGTTTAACTATTATTGCTTAGAAGATGAAGAAACTATGCATCACTAGATTTATTCTAGGTATTAGGTAACTCACCAACTCATTAGATAGCTTTAAGATCTCTTTGCCATTTTCCAAGCTCAAAACCCGTAATCTACCACCATCAGCTACAGCTAAAAATCTCTCATCTGTGGCACACCAGTGGGATGACATTAAGTCCTGCAAGAAGAGGAGTGCTTCGGATAACAAACACAAAATCCAAATGCATTGATTACTAACCACATGAAAAGGCTACAGTAGAAATCAGCTTTTTTGAAACTCTGAACTCCTCCATAAGGGCTCCAGTTGCTGAGTTCACGACAAAAGCCATTCCATTAGTTCCAACCAAATGCAGACTATGACCTCTACTTGCAAAAGAGAGACCGGCAACTCCACTGTAAAAAAAGAAAATACACAAGGGAAAAAGAAAAAAGAAAAAAAAAAAAAGAAACATCATCCACGTGAATGTATACTACTGGGTCACGTCATCCTACATGAAAATGATGCAAAAAAACGCAGATTGACATGGACCAAATGAGAATGTACCTTTATTTATTTGATAAGCATGTAGTTCTCAGAACAGACACATTTAATGTTGTAAACTTAAGCCTAATAGCTAGCTAGTCAATAGAAACTCAAAGAAAAAATGCTAGAAACACAAAAGAAAACATATGTTGTACAGATTCAAGAACTCTAGCAATAATTAGTTAGTTGGATATCTCTGCACTAGAAAGCCTATAAAGCTGTTGGCAAGAACTTTCATTTCTTTGGATAGGTTGTCCTTTCTATCAATATCTGACAATATAAATGATGAGCTGAAAAACAAAGCATAAATTTGAGAGCAGCACTTTTCTTTTGGTGAAAAATCTCTCCCTCTAGAGAGAGGAAGAATGCCTCTTTGAAAAACTTACCCTTACATAATCTAAGCTAAGGTTCATTTCCATGATTCTCATCAGAGTCAGATTATAAGGACCTTTTGGTGTAAAAATAAAAAATAAAAAATCCAGACATATAATAATATGATATAAGATGGAAGAAATAATACTCATACCCAGGAAAGGAACCAGTAGTTTTCCACTTCGTCTCCCCAGAGAAAACATCGATAGCCAAGACATCCCCATTATCAACCCCGAGGGCTAATAAGCAAGAACCACGCTCTTTCCTACGCTAAAAGTTCGAAGTTGAAGCAGTCAGAAAATCATGCACATTTTAATTCCAGATTATTCAGATCCAGTCACCAAAACAATATCAATAGCAATCAAAAGGACTAAAGCTACCTTCTTCCCAACAAAACTGCAGGCCATACAAGAAAACCTACCACCAGGATCCTCATCTGCTTGCTTCCACTCCGCCAACAACCTACCATCACTTGTGCTCCAAATCTGAAAATTATTTTACCACTTTCCATTACTATATAAGAAACATTTGCAACAAAGAACCAACTAGAAACAGGCACGCAACAATATCACCAATTTCCTCATCATTTGCACTTCGGAAGTACTTTTCCTGATTTTGGCCTGAAAATCGAGACAAGTATCTTGCTCTAAAACCCAAACCCCCAACCCACCAAAAAAAAACACCAACTTCAAATTCTACATAAAATGTTTGATCCCTTTTTCTCTTTACATTGAAAACACATTTACAAAGATGTTTATGCATATCAATTCCAATATATTTTTCGCATATATGCATACATACATACATACATACATGATACACACACACACACACACACACATATATATATATATATATATAATCCCTTTTTCTCTTTACATTGAAAACACATTTACAAAGATGTTTATGCATATCAATTCCAATATATTTTTCGCATATATGCATACATACATACATACATACATGATACACACACACACACACACACACATATATATATATATATAT